GCTTATTCCTAAAAGAACGAATGAGAAGTCTGACTAAACCCTGTTTTTCCATCCACAGAAAACAAATGAACGTATTTTCATTTCAAACTTCACTATAGCTCATCTTCAACGCTCCCTGAGATTCAGAACAGAAGAATGACTTCAGTATTATAAAACATGCATGTGAAGAACACAAGCTTTTGAAAGACCTTTACCAGTTCACCCCAGGAAAATAAGAAAAATACAATTTCTCAGTAAACTGGGGTTAATCCTTAGCTACAAGCCAGAAAGCGTACAGCTAGAGTTGGGGGCTAGACTGCATAGATCAGAAAAGCACAGGGAAAAGCACTGACTTTACAAGGGGCAGAGAACAAGTATCTTTGTGTTAAGAAAACAGTTCTAAAAAGAAACATAAAAGGTCCTTCCTTGTCCTTCAAAAGTTCTTTAGAAACCAGCAATGAAGAAGAACGTAGAACATGGATTTACAGAGAAAACACAGAGTTTGGAAAGTCTACCAAGTAGCTAATCACATTTACTACTCTCTCATCAATTCCTGTTTCTCACCTCTATCTGCGTGAATGGGAACACAGAGCTATGCTTGTTTTGCCTATGCTGCTGAGAGAGAAGATAAATTAACAGTGCTCTGCCTGCAGCTGCCTTGCGTCTCCCTGACTGAAGGAGTGGATTCACCCATCTACCTGGACACAATCAGACTGGCCCTACAGCAGACAGCAACGTTGGCCCTGTTGGCCAGAGCTCTTAGTCAATGAAGCACTTGCAGAGCATGGATGACCTAGATTTGATGCTGAAATATGGCCATATCTTGGGCTTTCTATAGCTCCTAAAATCTCAGAGATGGATTGAGGGCAGGCAGGTTCAAGCTGGCGTAGCCATGAAGTTTTAAAACTGCCTAACAAGAGTAAGAAAAATAAACATTGGGAAAGGTCTTTCTGTGAAGAGTATTTCCAAGAAAGCTTTTTAATTTTTCTACTTGTTTTCAAGCTGAAAAACCCTATTATCACTAGCTATTCCAGTAACTGCAGCAGCACAAGGGTACCAAAACAGACCAGGCTCTGAGCAGCTATTCCTCTTTGAAACACAGCACCGTATAATCCTGCTCTGAGCAAGTTTAGACAGCATGGTAGGAAAAACACTGCTGGTTGCTGGCATCTTGCCTAATGTAAGCATTCCTGCTGTTACCCTCAAAAACACTGAGAAATTTTTTCAGTGACAAGTTCTATGTAGAGAATTAAAAAACTTGTCTCTGGGTTTCATTGCACTGGAAAAATTTCACAAGAATCCAAAATAGGAACTGAATTTTAATTTTCATCCAACTGCAGCACAGTTGCTCTAGTATTTTTGTTGCTGCAACCACTGTCTCAGAAAACCTGTAGAAAGACAAACCAAGTAAGATGAAAGAATCAATCCCAGAAAGAGAGGGCTGTGCATGTGCAGATAGTGTGGAGAAAGAAGAATCAGCATGACCTTTATGGACAGGCATAAAAGAGATGAGCATCAGTCCTTGGAATTAGTGAATCACCCTGGGCTCACTAGTGTCCATCATCGTGATATCTGAATACTTGGGCAGAGGTCAGTGATCAAAGCAGGCACGTTCAAGGAGAAAAGAAGACAGCAAAGTGCAGTAAAAATGGTAGAGTTTGCTGAAGACCAGATTTAAACCTCATTGAACACCTAAGCTTTACTACAGACAAAAATGAAGGAACCCGGAATTTCTGTTTGAAAGCTGACACTTGAAACGTGCCTGGACCCAAAGGAAGGCAACATAAAATCTAGAATTACCCAAATCATTTAACTCTGATCTATTGTAACTGTCTGAGAATAGCTACTGCAGGAGGATCCTCCTCCTCCTTTTCACAGTGAACTCAGGATTTCTAGAAGGAGGGAAGATATGGTTCTCCCACGATTACCACCACAGTATTCTGTACCCTGTGTTCAATAAGTCACCTGCCGTATCTCAAACACTTGATCAAAGTTGCCAAGGCGAAGCATGCATCTCAGAACATCTTCCTTTTACTGTTTAATTCGGATTTGTGGTCTTCAAAACTGCAGTAACCCAGATGAACACCTCTGAGGGTTTAAATCTATGCTTACTGCAAGTGTGGAGGAAGAAAAATTAAAAAGGAAATCTTTTAGGTCATTGGACAGATTTGTAGCCAAGCATTGGAGAACAGGGAAATAAGCCTTTTCCGGAGAAAAGGCTGAATTACTGAACTGAAAACTGCTTTGAATCACAATGCAGACTTGAAAATGCTACATCCTGTGACATGGAGAAAAACCTGTAACAGCCCAAAGCATATCAGACAGCCCCCGCCCGCCACCAGCTGGCTTGTGACATAGGTTGGCCCAGGACTGGAGTTACTGCCATCATTCAGCATCACAGCAAGCTCAGAGAGATGAACGTTACCTGTCTGCTCAACCATAAAGCATACCAAACGTGCCTTTTGGCTTGCACCAACGTGAGTACCAGAAAATACAGACAAAGGTTGCAAGTGCCCACATGCCAGGATCTGGAAAAAAGCAACCCCCACCCTTTCTTAAGTCTTTCTAGAAAGTACTTCATGGGAATCTACAATCATTATTGCTTTTTCTGAGATGCCCTTCTTCTAAAAGCACAGGGAACTCGAGCACACTTCACTGCTTTCTCCTTCAGCTACCGCTGACAGACGAGGCTGACTGTCCTAACTGTCAGGGATCTCCTCCCAACCTTGCTACGGATTCAAGGGCCAGTAAGATTCGTTATCTGCTGAAGGATGCCCCGAGTTCCTCTCACACATGGCAAGAATGCTGTGTAAAAAGTTGCAATTCTGTTCTTGTGGCCAATCTCTGTTTTTCACTGGGTTGTGCTTTAAAAGAGATGTTATAAAAATAAATAATTTAGCAAGCACTGTGGCCCACCCACAACAGACAACTGTGAGCCCCGAGCCAGAAAAGAGTGCCCATCTCGGAAGACATGTAAGAGGCAGGTCAAAGAAAGCTGATGGGCTAATGTAGGGCTAATGTAATGTTTTTACACGTGTAAAAGCAGGTGTCAGCACTCACTGCTACTTTTAAGGCTCCTTTTGTATCACTTGGTGCTGCTAGCCAGCCAGTTCTTGCCCTTCTGGAAGCGTATTTATCCCACGTATACGAAAGAGGACAGTTTTGTAAAGCTATTGCAAAAGGATTTCAGATTAGCATGTTATGATGCTGGAAGACAAGGAGAAGAGCAAGAGAAAACAGAGAAGGATGAAGGAGCACGTACTCCCCCCACTCCAATCAGAGCAGGGATTTCAGAGGCAAGATGCACAACTGCAAATCCCCCATTGCTTGCTGCGGGTCAGAAGTCTGCACCCGCAGACTGGGACCACACAGGCTCCAGCTCCAGTGACTTGTGAAAATAATCTGCCCAGGAGAAAGAAAACATACATGTATTAACTACTTAGAAAGACATTTTCAAAGGCTTTTGATATCCAGCTGGTCTTGATTCATATTGACTTCAACAAAATAGCCTTGGACCAATGGTGAGTGCTCTGAAAAATCCCCTCTATAATTTGCCATTGAGGTATGAAAACAAGTGCTGTAAAAGGGTTTGTTAAAAAAAAAAAGATGATGTCATTGATATCCAGCTGGTCTTGATTCATATTGACTTCAACAAAATAGCCTTGGACCAATGGTGAGTGCTCTGAAAAATCCCCTCTATAATTTGCCATTGAGGTATGAAAACAAGTGCGTAAAAGGGTTTGTTAAAAAAAAAAAAAAGATGATGTCAAATTAAAAACGAAAGGTTAAAATAAAATTTGGCTTCAGGCCATAAATTAGGGGGAAACTAACAGTAAAGATAGTTAAACGACTGGAAAGAGAAAGCAACAGGAGCTATTATGAAAAAAAGCTGATGGCTTTTAAAAAAGGATTTGTATAGATAGCTGGGGAAATAAATTCCATATGTGATAGAAGTGCAATTGAGAAATTAAATAAATGGAAAATACAGATAACTAAGTAGTAGTTAACATGCCCCTTCTCAGTTGTATACTATTATCACATCTATTTTTAATGTCTCTTCAGCTGTCCGCAATTGTCATCTTTTTTTCAGAACTTGTTCCAATGCTCTTTGATACCGAATTAGCTGATTTTTACTCTCCAATGCTTACAACCGCATCTTTTTCTTACTCAACACTCCCCTTTTCCGACAATGTTATTCCATTGTCTCCGTTTTTCATCTCTCCTTATGTGTTGACTCCCTAGTTTCTGAGCTTTCCAACTACCCTTGTTCATCTTTTTTCTGGAGCTCTTTTGGTTGAATCCTAGCATGTTTCTTTTCTTCTTTTCTAAAGATACAAGCATGTTTTATATCATATCTGGCTACTGTACACATTGTTACCCCTTCAGAAGGGCATTGAACAGCTATAGCAGTGCTCGCGGTGGAAATAGTAAGCTAAACTAAGAGAAAAAAAGAAGTTCTTTTTGGCTTTTGCTTTCTGGTTCTTAAAAAAGAACCCAAACATTTAAACTCTCCCCTTTTCCTTTTTATCTTCAAATAACACAATCTTTCCATGGGCAGCTGAATATTCAAACAATAACAGGCATCAGAAGCGTTTGCAATTCTAGAGCTCAGGATGTGTCTAAGCAGAAGAGATAACACGAGATTTAATAATACTGAAAAAATACACAAGTTCTAACGTGATGTATGGGCTACTGAGTGAACCTGACTTTTTCTTTTTAACCTTACAAGCATGCCTGTACCTTACCTTTATGGCTAATGATGCTTCATATTAACTTGGGACACTTTTTTATTTATTAAAAAAATCAGGTCCAAACATGCTTCAGACAGTCAAATTCACCATTGTGTGATGCCTCAGATCATTCAGCTTCATCGTTAAAAGATCAGTCTTTAATTTCTCTACTTCAGTACAATTCTCTTTACCTTTTGTATGCAAAGCCAATGGCATAGTTGAGTTGTACTTAACAATGCTCTTTGGAATGGTATTTTCAAAATTCAGACTTCCACCACAGAGTAAGCTTACCTTCAGCTGTGCCTGAGATACCATCAGCTTTGAAATTGCTCGTGCTTTTCTTCCTGCGGTGTTTCTTTCTGTTGGCGTGAGGTGAAGGAGGTGGATCGAGTTTGGGGCTCGTCGTACTGGATATACTTGGGCTTGAACACACAGAATCTCCTAACCCGGTATCTGCAGTTTGGGGGGAAAAAAGAAAAAGAAGGAAAAATAAAAAATACTGTATAATTTAAATTAATGATTGCTAGGATCCAAGATATAGAATCCAAGAATCCCTTGCTTTCTGTTAGCAGCTAACTTCTTGAGCTCATTGACTTCCAAAGGCTACAGGAGAGTCTCCTAACAATATCCATTACTTTTTCAAAAAGGTACAAAATAGCAACTCGGCTGAAGTTCTGATTCAAGTCCTATTAAATCAACAGGACTCTGCATCAATTTTAGAAGCAGGCCAGCTGGAATGCACAAAAACCAATGGGAAATCACTTTATTACTTCCAATTGCTCTTTCTTACAAAGATCCTACTGATCCTCAAATTAATTCGTGTAACGCCAGGACATTTTAATACATAACAGAACAGAGATAAACCAATGTCCTCTGAACACTGTCTGCTTTCATTAATATTAGAGACAGACACACATAGAAAAGGTGGTAATGGCAATAAAGGTGGGAAAACAAGGTGCGTGTGCCTGGTACAATTAATATTGTGTGATAATGGGTCACTCAGTATCTGCTCCCAATGAAAAAAAATAAACCCATGTTCATCATGTTTAGTTTCCCACTGTATTAGCTATGTAGCATAACATGCAACAATTTTAAGAACTAATGACAGAGTCATTTTCTCCCCTCTCCCACCAATTAGCTTGCTCAACCAAATCAAAATTAAAGGTCGATGACGCCCCTCTCTCTTAAGGAGACACCCACAGTCTCTTCCCTGGTCCATGTAACAGCTGGTAATAAGTGAACGCCTTCTCTTTGAGTAGTTCTTCTCTTTTTCAGTCAAGAAACATCTAACAGCAATATTTAACAGAAGTCTAGGAAATGAAGACATACTTGAAATTTTGCTCTCCATCTGGGTCCTTTCGCATAGCAAATACTCAAGCAACCTTAATCCAGTATTTTTCCCCAAGGTTGGTAATATGATTTTAGTTTAATTGCAACCAATCTTTTGGCTATGATTAGTGCTAAATGCATTTTTATTTTGTTGGTTTGGTTTTGGTTTTAATTATAAAATTTAACATAACATCCTACACTTTACTTAAAGTGCTTGCTATTATTTAAAGTGAAGCTGTTCCCAGAACCCTGGTTAGATACCATATTGCACTTACATGCAATACCAGGATTGCACTTAAGAAAGTGAACTCATATGTTCGAAAAATATCAAGCCAAAGACTATTTAAAAAGTAATTTTTGATTGTTTTGAGTAGTTAAGTCCCCATACAACTGCCTATTTGACAAAGAAACACTTACTTTGTTTTTTTTCTAATAAAGTTTACTTACTAATTACCTTCTAAGCACAGTTGTGCTGCAAGTTATTAGTGGGGGATAAATTATGTAGCTAATCGCCTGGCAATAGAGACCAAATCAAACGTAAGCTTTATATTAAGGATTTTTGTTCTTTTCCTTATGCATCTATCCTGGCAAGGGTTTGCCGTCTCTCCAGGTGAAGAGGAAGGCAAACCCTGATGAGAATCCATGCCAGTGCTCAGCATGTTCTTGGCAAAGGGGACACGGATACTTCTGGCTCCTTGACACTGAGAGAAGACACAAGAGAGGATGCCAGCAATACAAAGGCATGACTACGGATGCAAGGTGGTTACTGCTAGTCCTAAATATTGACCTCCAGTTTGAGACTTGAGAAGGTTTCATATGTCGGGTACTTAAGGAAAAAAAACCCGACACAAAAAAACCTCCTTTGCAGCAATGACATGAAAATTGCTCTGCTGAGACAGGCCAGCTGCAGAGCCAGGCACTGCAAGGAAGGGGCCCAGCTGTGGCAGCAAGTTCTGCCACGTGGCACCAAAAATATATCTTGTTGATTTTCATTTGCTTGCTAAAAAACAGAAAATTCATAAATATCATGGAAAAATCCCAGAGAGCACACCAGCCAGGAAGGCTTGCTCATATCTAACATAATTTCTCAAAACACTTCACTTTTTCCCCTCAGAAAATATGAGGCAAGTAGCACATGGACAGGCCTCATTCTCAGCTTTCACTTTAAAAAGAATTATCCCATTTTGCTCAAGGGTAGGGGAAAAAAAAAAAATCCAGGAAAAAAACAGCTCTACCACCCTCTCCCATGCCTTTCAAAAAGCTCCTTTCCAAATATTCGCGATGCTGAGAAGTGTGCCGAAGCACTCTGGTCCCTGAGGCAGGCGTACGAGGGCTGCATTCATCGCCACGTGTGACTCCATCAACCACGATGCCCTGGACTCGTAAAATGGTGAAGAAACCACACCCTGACGCAAAACCACAGAATATATTTTTCAGCAGGATCTTTGTTAAAAAAATATTAACGCAGATCTGTACACTTACTGCAGCTTAGTCTAATTTCTAGGCTATAAATTGCACCAACAAAACCTGCTTGTGAGCTCTGAAAAATGGGGATGCGTATACATGTACAGTCCGACTACTTGCATCGGAAAGCTGAAGAATTAACCTCCTATGGTAAATCCTTGTGATCCGCAGCCCTTTCCAGGTAATAACCTGCTGTCCTTGGGTCAAACGGCTCTGAAGCGAAGAGCCCGAAGCTTTCCCTCCCCCTCAACCAGAAAAGAAACACGAGTCGCTCGTAAACGGGTACCGAGCTGATATTGTTGGTGTATTAATGCCCCGTATTCCCGGTTTCAGAGACCACCCTTTGAAGATGGAAGTTATTTAACATTCTACTGGTTTAAAATATGAGCAATCAAAAGGCGCTAGGCTTACACGCTGTGCTTTCCCATTTCCCACTACTTCTCTTGCCTGACAAGGTATTCTTCAAATTGAAAAGAGGGCTCCTGAAAGCCCGGCTTCGGAAAACTGCAAATGAGTTCAGGCTTCAGCCCGCTGAATGCAATTTCATACTCCTGACTGAATACAAATAATGCATTTTATTTTGTATCAATTACCACGCCTGAGAACAGACGACTGCTGCTGGCACTATTAGATATTAAAAAAAAAAAAAAAAAACAATAAAAAAAAAAAAAAAAAAAAAGGCAAGGAAAAAGGCACGCCAAATTAAAAAAGCAAGCGCCTCATTACTCCACATCTAAACCAGCTTTGACAGAGGCACTGGAACTCATAAGACGCGTTTCACTGGGTTGGGATGGGCTGTTTTGCAGCCATCCCGCGCGTTCAATGTCAGCCATTAGTTCTTCCCAATCGGGCATCAATGTTCAACGCACACCCGAAAAAATATATAATACTAGTAATAATAATAACAATCTGCAGCCTCTCCGAGCTTCAATACTTGAAGTATGAGTCAAAGAAGCAGTTTCACTTTTCACTCGGGAAGCTGACAAGCATGACTAGAGGGGGAATAAAATAACATTCAGTTCGCATAAATATCAAGCGGGCTGCTTGAGACTGATGGGCCAGGAATGTATTCTTAGCCATCATTCTGGCAGACAGGCCCAAGGACACTCATAACTTATTTTACAATCATTTAGTTTCAGCTCAAGTGGAAAACGTGACAACTTATCTCTGCTGACAAGATGCCATATCGAACCTTACAATTAACTCTCCCACGATTATCTGCCCAGCCCATCATTAGCTTTGCAGTTTTTGATGGACTGTAGGGACAGCTTTCCTTGATGATGGTCATCATTTGCAGGGTGTATACTACATTATACAACATTACGGACAAAATTCTCCCCTTGCCATGTAGCTGGGGTTGTCCTGACCAGCACATCCTCTGTTCTGCAACTGCCAGGCCACGTTTCTAAGTGATGTGCAGCAACACGCTGCTGAAAAACATCTCCAAAATGGAGCATCACCATGCTCCAGCCTACACCTGCTGCCAACTGCAATGTATGGAAGCGAGCTGTAATTGCCCATGCCCTCTCCCAACAAACAGCCATCCTTCCTCCCTGCCATCTCTCCCCAGTGCAGTTATTAACTCCTCTCAGCTGTAAGTGAGAGCTGACACGAGCCACGTCCTTGCAGTTTACCTCTGCATGCTCACCACGTGTTAAGGAGGACGCCATGAATTTCACATGCGTGTTTGGCGATTTTCCGTACCGACGAGAAAACGTGTTTCTCATTGAAAGGTGAGTTTCTAGCTTTACAGGGTTGTGAAATAATGCCAAGCTTATACCAAGGGATAGGACAGTTTCTGTGCAAACCAGTATGACAAAGTATAGGTGCTCATTCCAGAAAAAGCAGTAAAATAGTCAATCCAGAGTATATAGAGGGTAAGTTTACATCTATGCAAGTTATTTGAGGCCATTTGAAAGTATGCAGTAGCTCACTCCATGCCCAGGAGCAACAAGTGACAATTGGTAACCAAACCTGTTCAGTTATCAAGAGATGGGATATTAAAAAACCCAACCACTCTGTTGTTAGCATGGTGATTTTTCTCTATAGGTGCATGACACGTGGGATAAGACAAAGATTCTGCTTGTTCAAATCTGACTGTTGTTTGCTAGAAATTACAAAACCAAAAAAAAGAAGCCAATGCAGCTTTTATTCCACAAAGCAAGTCCCATGCCTGCCTCTCTCCTAAATGCATTTTGTAATTACTGTCATAAGAGAAACTCCTTTCAATTATGACAAATTCTGGTAGGAGAAATGAGAGGCAGAAGGGAAGAACTATGTTGCCTACAACAACAACCCAGAACTATGAGATGGAACATTAAATGAAAAAAGAAACCAACCAATCCTTCTCAGAAGAGTCTCAAGGGCTGTGCTGTTGTGCTGCGCTTTATTTGCCATTTGAAACACATTTGATATCCTCTCGCAGTATTATACAATGTTTGTAAAAGGCAACGTTCTGCACAAGTCCCACTTCTTATCTCTTTATAGTTTTATTATTTGTAAGCTGCATGCACTCCACAAATGGACCTCAAAGACAACCCCATTTGTGCCCTTTAAGGATGTCACGAGAGCCCTCCTGGATTTGAAAGGGGTAAGAAATCCAGTTCAAACCCAGCCTGTGCTTCCTCGGTACTAATACTACTTCCCCTAGGCACAGTACA